TTTTAGTTAGTCCTCAGAGGGGAAGGGCTTGTTTTAGTTAGTCCTCAGAGGGGATGGGCTTGTTTAAGTTAGTCCTCAGAGGGGCAGGGCTTATTTTAGTTAGTCCTCAGAGGGGCAGGGCTTGTTTTAGTTAGTCCTCAGAGGGGCGGGGCTTGTTTTAGTTAGTCCTCAGAGGGGCGGGGCTTGTTTTAGTTAGTCCTCAGAGGGGCGGGGCTTATTTTAGTTAGTCCTCAGAGGGGATGGGCTTGTTTTAGTTAGTCCTCAGAGGGGCGGGGCTTGTTTTAGTTAGTCCTCAGAGGGGAGGGGTTTGTTTTAGTTAGTCCTCAGAGGGGAGGGGCTTGTTTTAGTAAACACTGTTTACATCAGTGGTTTTCATCCCTCAGAAGTTTCCTCATTAAACTTTTCAGGCAGCAGAGTTATAATAACAACAAAACCTRCTTTATTACCATGAGACGGTGCTAAACCAAGGACTGAACCAGTTAGCTTCACTAATCTGCTAAACAAGAATCTTAGCTCCAATAAAAGACTTGTGACAGCTAATGCTAACAGCTRAGACGTCACTCATGAAGTTATTCCTCCAGTGAAAAGATGTGTGAAAAACATTCACATGATATAAAATGTATCGTATTTCATGCAGCCTACCTGGATGTGTGTCCTCTGTGGGCTGTGGTCTAAGTAGCATGCAGCCCCTGAAGTGGACACAGCTACTGCCCCATATGTGCAGCACTGCCTGTAAGAGGGGATAGTTTCTGTTTGAGAGGARTGACATAAAATCAGAAGTTTGACCCTGGTGAATTTTTGATTGGGCTTCAAATGAGCAGAACTGAATTTATCAGAAGCTAATCAGTGCCAGGGGCAGATCAGTGACGATGCTCAGCAACTSTGTGTTTAGTTTCAAAAATAGATCAAGCAGAAAACACATCACTAAACTGAGTTACATTTAGAAAATGACACAAAGCAGACGTCCCTCATACATTTAATGTGTTGCTCCTCTGAGCTCTGCTCCCCAGCTCCTCTGGTTTACAGACGCTTGCTTCATTTGTGAAAGCTCACGTCTGAGCGGGACGTAGCCAGCTCCAACTGTGATTTATGAACAGAGGTTTGTGTGGGTCCTATTTAACAGAAGTGTTTAATGAAAATCTTACTGAAAAGCTGTGATTCTGTTTCTGTCTGATCACATTTACAAACTGAAAACATGAAACTTGTCATTTTTCTCTCCAGAAACTGAAAATGCTCACAGGTTGTGTCACAGCGCAGCAGCTGAGAACCACTGGTTTAAATGCTGTCTTTAGTTGAAAGTGTTTGTGTTGTTGTCACATGATCACAGCTGTTGTGTGTCTGCAGCTGGTAAACACAGGAGAAAACCTGAGCCGCAGCAGAAAGGTCCTGCGTGCCATGTCCCGCAGGTACGATCAGTGTTGGACCCTCAGCTCGTCTCSTTCTTCACTCTTTGACACGATCACTGAATTTATGTTTCTGCTCTTCATCATGTCTCATTGCTGCTGTCGCTCTGCTCCGTTTGTTTTTGTACGTGACCCGTTACATCCAGTTCTTAAGTCAAATTAGGTCAGAATGACCTCCTGGATCATCCTGATGTCATAAACTGATCCAGAGATATGACTTCATTTGTCTTGTTGGTTATATATTACATTAATATTTGATCTGAATCCTATTTTCATGTATTGAGTCATTTTTATGTCCATATAAAGAGTAAACCTCAAATAGTATTTTTAAATTAAGTTTTCTCAGTTAGAAAGAAACAAAAACATTGCTAACCCACAGGGAAAATTCACAATTTTAAGTTTTTTTTTCTCAAAATCAGGTTTTTTTGATGCTACTGCTCAAATAAAAAGCTTGAACTTTTTTATGATTATATTTCAGACGGTTCCTTCATATGATACATTGATAAGGCTTTAGTTCATTTTATTTAAACAAAACCACATTTAAATCTAAACCCTATATCTGCCTGTTTATCCTCGTTTAGATGTGACGGCTGACACATTTCTGTTGTTCAGAGTGAAACTGGACCTGTTGTCTGATGGTTGACCTGCTTCCTGTCCTGCAGGCTGATGACAAACAAGCTGCTGCTGGCCATCATCATGGTGATGGAGGTGGCCATCCTGGCTGCTGTGGTTTACCTGAAGTTCTTTAAGAAGTGAACTCCTCCCGTCTGACAACAGCTTTTCTCCCCCCGCCTCCTCCCTGTGTCCTGCAGCAGTAACTCAGACATGGTCCAGCTGTCCCAGCTTCTACTGAGTCTGTTAGAGTCCTGGAGGGTCTGCTGGGACCACCGATCCCACCTGTCCTCAGTGAACATGAAGCCTGACAGCTGCTCCAGCTGTGTTTGAGTCCAGCTGTTGATCAGAAACATCTACAGATGTGGACAAACTGGATGGTACCATTACAGAAGAATCAAAAACCATCTGATGACTCCTCTAGTTTCTCCTCGTCAGCCTCGTGGTGAATTCTTCTGGTTTTACTGTTTTCCTGTCATCAGTGGACCTCWTCAGAGTCCACAATGATTTCCTCATCCTGGAGGGTGGTCCCAGTCCCACCAAACCTTCTACTTTTTAATCACATCCACCAATTCAAAGGTTAATCTTTTCTTTAAGGTACCAATAAATGTGTTCATGGTATTTATTACTGCACAGCTTCACAAGACAAACACAGAGTAAAGATGTGCAGAAACTGATTGGTTTGAATGAAACGTTGTAAAGAGCTGAGGGGGAGGAGCCAACAACAGGAAGCAGCTCTGTTTGCTAACCAGGACTTTACATGTCTGATGACGTGAAGACGATGTTCTGAAGGCTTCACACAGAAACTTTGTTTTCAACAAGTACTACTACATCCAGTTACTGTGCTCACACTGTTCCCTGCTCAGAAGCATGTGTGGAATTAAAGCTAATGACCAGTTTATTGTGTGTTTCTGGGGAAATAAACTTAAAAAATAAAAACCATTAATGACAATTTTAAGGTAAAATTTCTTCTCTTTAGAAATGATAGCTGAAGGTGTTTTTGGTCCAACTGTAAAATGATCAGTCCTGTTGTGAACGGCTCTCACCTGCTGTCATGTCAGTTTTAACTCAGTATCTGTCAAAATGATTAAAGTTTTGATCAGTTTCTGTTGACTGAGGCTGATTAGCTGTGGCAGCCATCTTGAATTTAACTGAATTCAATGGTTTATCAGTTTGTTGTAGATTTACATTCAATAATTACTTCCTTTAAAAGATACTCCCCTTAGCAAAAACTAGTATACTTGAAGTTCATTTTAAGAAGTATACTTGAGTATAAGTTTAAGAATATCAAGTATACTAGGCACCATGTACTTGTAGTATACGTGAAAGTATATTGATTTAATACTCGTTCATACTAAATTGGGACATTTTTAGTTTATACTTTAAGTATACTCTTATAATGTTTGTAAACTTACCAAAAAGATGTATACTTTAAGTACTTGTCATGAAGTATACTAAATATATACAAGTGTATGTCCCTAAGTGTACTTTTATTTACCATGTACAATGATATACTAGCAGTTTACTAACAATATAGTTCTAGGACTAAGTTGGCCCACAACAAGTTTATACTCTAAAGTATACTGAAAGTAATCTTCTATGTACACTTTTAGTTTAATCTTGAAATATACTACAAATAAAC